TCAGGAAAGGGAGAAAATAGGAAAAGGATCCGCAATGGATACAGTATCCTTCGTAAAAGATTTACAGCACTGTTAGGCATATAATTTAATGACTACACTTTACACCTGAGCAAATTGTTGAACAGCGGCAAAACGCAATAGAAGCTCTGTGGATTTTAGCTTGCTGACTGTGAAGATCTGACTTATTTAGCTGCAGGCACAGGCTGCATTTAATGTCCAGAGCTATTAGTGATTCTTGTACTACTAAAGCGCTGCTCCGGGGTACCCATTTCCTTGCATTAATGTCTACCTTCCACCGCAGCAAATCAAAGGCATATCTAATGCCTTTGCCTATCTTAGCATACTCTCTAAATATCACAGGTTAGAAGGCTGAGGGGCTATGCAATGGTCAGAATGAAACGGAGAACGTGCCATTTTTTGTACATTTCAAAGCAGAACAATTTATTATCAAGAACAAGAATATCAAAGGAGAGGGGGAAAAAAACTTCATCTGTTTCATAAACTTGTATTCACTGCAATTTCACCACTTAACACTTCCAGCACAGAGAGAATGACTTATTAAGCTTGAAGGTTCTTCTTTTTAATCTTACGCCTGTAGTTACAGTTTTTCACATTTTTTGCCGTTATCGTGTAAATATAGAACTCCTCTGCTGAAACCAGAGATTACAACAGTAGTTATTAAGAGGCTATTCAAAAGTTTTTAAACGTCCTTAAAGTGCTTCATAGCCTCCCGCATTTTTTTAAAATGTTTTGTCCTCGTCACAGACAAGATAGTGGCTCTGTTAAGAATGCGAACTGGGGTTTTTTTATTGCCAGTCGAAGGTGCGCTTCACCAGCCTGAAGAAGGTGCGGTTGTGTTCTTGAAGGTAGGAGCGGAGCTGCTGGAGCACAGTGCTGTTAACAGCAGGATGAGGTCGTCCCTTAGACTCGTGCAGACAGCGCTCTCGGCCATCACTGCGGATGCAGTAAAACCCCTTGGTCTGATTGAAGTAGAAGTTGGTGGATACTATCCTGGGTGGCAAGTTAAGGAAACGCTCCACCCTCTGAAGCTCTGGGAGGGGGTCACGGATCAGAGCGTCACCGTCTACTATGTGTATCTGTTCTAAGGGAAAGTGGCGCAGCCAGTTACGCATGTGGACGTCGTACAGGCTCCTCTGAATGGCCTTGTACCTCATATTCAGCGCTCCGTTGCGCACTAGCAGGTTTTCAATGGCTTGAACCGGCTTGTGGTTCTCCAGCCGGTTAAAGTACACCTGGGTGTAGTCGGAGATGACCCGCTCAGCTGGGTCTCGCAAGATCAGCAGCAGCTTAATGGAAGAGTTCATGGCACAGATGCGTTCGGGTGCAAGGGCTGAAGTGAAATAGCCTGGAGTTTTCTCTATTGTGATCTGGTGTGGGTAAGAGTAGGGCATTAACTCACGGTACCACTCAAAGCCCTTGGCGTAGTTCTCATCCCAGTCAAAGAAGTGCACCTCGGTGGCGGCGGCAGCCACTTCAGGGTGTATGTCCAGCATCTCCAACAGCGCTCTTGTGCCACCTTTGCGTACCCCAATAATGATACTATGTGGGGCTCGTTTGCTTGTTCCCGGGGGTGGAGATGTGGTTACATCTCCAGAGACATTCGCTAGTAGGCCGGTGTCAAGGTCCACGGTGTCCAGTGTAATCCCAAATCCTGCCTCAGGTGGGGCAGCGTATGTCTGAAGAACCAGGAGAAAGGCTGATGCCAGAAAACAGGCCATGGTGATGGACTGAAGTGGAGACTTGCAAAGAGTCAGTAGCAAGAAAGAAGGCTGTGGCTTAGCTGTGGACCAAAGCTGACTGTCTGAACTCAGTGGTGCTAAGAAATGCAGTCTTTGTCTGCCATTGAATATGAACTGGAGACAGAGGACGAATCAGTCTGCGGCACATCTGCAGGGAAGAACAAAGAAAAAAAAGAGAAAGAAGAAAGGGCTTTTAGGTTTCAGGCATATAATGAAGAATGAATGTCTGTATTATACTGAAATGGCACCTTTCTCATTCCCATGAAAAGCAATCCAGCCATAAATACAATCCACATCAGTTATAAGTGTATGATCTCAAAAGGATTATCTCAATTCATCTTTCTTTGAGTCTCTTTTAATTCTCCCTCTTCCCATCTGCTTTCTCTTCTCACTCTATAAAGTCACTTTCAATTGATACTGTAATGTCTCGGTGCGAAAAACATTTAGCCAGACAGCTCATCAGAAAATGTGTCTGAAATATGCAATTGAGTCTGAAGGCCAAAAGATGAGACCAGATTTCTTTGTCTTCCTTCAGCAGGTGAAAAATCCACACCTGTATCAATACGCACCTACCCACAGCGCTGAAACCAAGAGATTGTAAAGACAAATTTATTGCCGGAAATCAGATGAGTTCCCACTCTAGGTGGCTTTGATTTTCCATACGAGCTGAGAAAGATCGATACCAGAGCAGTGAAATCCACCAAACAACAAGGAAAAGGATTTAGGGTGTTAGGTTTGACTTATAATCTTGCTGAGGAGCCCTTCAAGAGCATGGGAAAATTGAATGTCGCTGCCTCGTCTTTTTTAACTTTTGATCCTTTCTATAAGGCCTTTTAAATATTTTAATATTTGCCTTGTTTTTCTTGCCTTCAACAAGCGCTAGTCAAATGGTGTGCCTCAACTTCAGCAAGAAAAAAGGGAAAAAAAACATCTCTGTAGCAATAAATGTATACATATATATATATATATATATATATATATTTAACGCCATGGAATTAATTGAAATGGCAAAAGTCTTCAGATATTTTTCACGAGGAAAGGCAGCCAAGAGAGCTGCTGCTTACTCTGTGCTAGTCAAAACAACAGGGATGGGCTATGCAAACATCCAGATTCAACAGCAAAGGTCATGGTAAGGCAATCCAAACAAGCACACATATTCCCATCCTGGGAACACTTGGCTGCACACACACACACACGTGCGCACACACACACACACACATTATTTCAAATGCCTACAGTAGACAATTTTCTCCCTACCTCGTCCCTCATAATGTAGACCACAAATGGGTTTCTTTCAAATGCAATTTAAAATCTGGGTGTTTCTGTGGAAGTAACTTCGTCACCTTTTGCACGTTTCAGCACACTGGGGATAATTTCCCTCCCAACTAAGACGCTGAATTCCTGGCTCACAGTCTGTAGGTGCCATTTACTGTAATTACATCTATTGGAGTTTTCAAGGAGGAAAGGATATTTTTTAAAATAAATTTGATCTTTCATTTCTTTGATAACAGCAGGGAGGCTGCCTGTTTCGGCAGTTATTTTTCTCAGCAATCTTTTTCTTCCAAGTCCACCACCACCACCACCACCACCACCACCACCAATATATATATATATTTTTAGAGAAAATCAAACACTCAGTAATTTATTTTATGTTTAAAGAAAGGCTGAAAAAAGTCATTTCCCTACCTAATTTATGCACCAAGCCAGCAGTGTGAAACAACGATCAGCTGGACTCCAGAATGATCAGCCATTACAATAATTTAAGATAAGTTTGTGGGACACGCTCATTCCGGACTGATGAAAGTATGAAAGTGTAATCTTTGCATAGAAACTGTCAACACATTGTGAGGGGATCATAGATTTGTGAGGCGCGCATGGACGATCTAAATCTGCGCACTTGAGTTGTTTTTAGCGGGCCAACTGTTATCATTAATCCTCTGCTTGCAGAAATGCTCAGCCTTCAGCACAATTTAATCACAGAAGCCGTCTCTTAATTAAGTGAAGAGTGTAACTACCAACGCGCAGAGCACATTTCTGCGGTGTCACCAGTGGCTTTCTCTCACCTTACAGAGTCTTTCAACCATATAAAGCCTGTGACACATGCCTCCCCCTCCCCAGTTACACATTATGATCTGTGGTCTGAGTGTGGGACTGGGCCCGTGTTCTGAACGCGGGAGAGCTGACCTGCCCTACAGGAGCGGGGATGGTGTGAGGAGGCACTTATGTGCTGTGACAGCCTCGCCTGCCTGTCAGCGTTTCCCTGGCAGAGAGCTGCCAAGTCCAATGCTAACAGCCAGGCAGCCAGACGAGCTTTCTGTCTCATCCAATTCCCCCCACACCTCTCACAGTACAGCACCACCTGGAAGGAGCCATTGTTTCGCATTCCACCGGGCCTTATTGCTTTATTCTGCACTTGATGTGTATCTTTCCAGCTTTTCAATCGGCACATGGCAACCACAATATCTGGCAGACCACTTAACCAAGAATATATCCGCTGAAGACTGCAGGAACCAGTGGAAAGTTATACAGCAAAGGGCTGGCAGGGGATAACTATGGCCACACTGAGTTTTGTGTGCAGATATAGCATCTGTTTGGTGTCTCATTGCTGCTTCACAGCATCAGAACCTAGATTCAGATTGTAGAACTGGACAGATTTTTGCTTGAAGACTCAAAAAAAAAATCTAAATTGCTGACTTTAAATAATTTAATTGCATATACATTTTTTGTAACTTTGTTCTATAATGTAAAATGTTAAACTGAACAGAATCTGCTCAAATGCACAGTCACCTCGAGGTGCTTTATTTTGTCAGGTAAAGACCCTACAATAACTGGAATAAAAATACACCCCAGCAACCACATGACCCCCTATGAGCAAGTACTTGATGACAGTGGGAAGGACAAACTCCCTTTCAACAGGAAAAAACCTCCATGAGAGGATCAGGGATGGGCAACCATCTGCCACAACAAAAATAAGTGTTTCATTTTTTACATTTTAGTTACATTTTACTCAAACTCATTGCTTCATTTTTATTGAGGGTGAAAAAATCCATTTTTTCAGTGTAGAGTTTTGATGTTTTCCTCTGGCTAACCTTCTTCAGGCACTCTAAAGGCATAACAGTGCCGCCAGGCCACGGATGTCAAGGCGGTGGAAATGCTTTTAAACCTGTTCTGTTGTTTGCATTTTTCATCTTGAACCAGCCATATCCTGATTTGCTGTGCTAAATAGACACTGGCACCATTCTGACCTAAGCCATGACGTGACCATCTTTAATCCTTTAGCACTGCAGCGCTACTCCTTAACCTGATGATACCTGATGAAAAAGTAACATTTAATACTTAATATTCCCAGATAGCCAGAATTAAGGTATCGCACTATCAGTGCATTACTAATATGAACCATTAATACCTCATGAATTAGAGTCAATCCCTCCCTCTCTTTCAAAAATGGTGAGACATTTTTAATTAGATTGGGGTGGGGGTGGGGGGCAGCTTTGGACGGGAAGCAACGACCACACTTTTACTGAATTCGTTTTACATGCATTAGCTCTGTGAGTGTCCACTCGTGCTGAAGATGTCTCCCTGCCCCGCACACTGGGATATTCTCCATCCTCTTTTTGACCCTGATTATGTATAAGTGGGTATGGAAATTGAACTCGGTAAAGTCGGAGGCACAGTTGCTGAGATAACAAAAATCTAAAACTCTGCACCACACTCGACACTCGAACCCATAATTCCGAACCTCTGCACACACGCGTACACACACGTACGAGAGCTGCCCTTTGCTGACCATTATCCAGACTTTAAAACTATTCTGGCACCGGAGCAAAAGTGCAGCGTACCACCTGAGCAGACAGCTCCGCCAACAGTTCTGCACTATTCATTATATCCCACCAGGCTAAGAGGAGGGCTCCACAGGTTCTAGGCACCACGGGAAGCCAGGTTCCCACTAATTAACCCAAACAGCCGCCTCTATACATCTACAGCGGGAAAAAAAAAAGCCTCATTCATATTCAACAGGCCCCCCTGCCATTAACTGTGGCAGGCAGCAGGTATTGCACAGGGTGCTTTGTTTTTTTAATGGCTGCTCATTAGAGACGTTACTACAAAATAATTATTACTGCAATAAAGCTTGATTACAAAGGGTGGCTTTTGCTATTAAACGGATTCAAGTGAGGAAGTTAAAAAAAATGAATCAATATTACTATCCATTTTTCTTGTGTGGTCACACATTTTAAATCATTTAGCACCACAAGTAAACATAAACACACACAGATTGTTTTACTTGTTTGATCTAAGCATAAGAATCTGCCGTTGCTCTTATCTACCGCTTGTTTATTTGACTTCATTCCATCCCACACTCTTGCGTCTCCACTTCGCTGTCGTAAAGCATTGTTAGACGATCCCGTGTGAGAGGCTCTGACCCGTCCGTCCAGTCACTTTGGACACAGAAACACATGCACTTTCACTCTGTTTTTGTTTTGCACTTTCCCACTTCCATTCCTCACCCATCCTCTCCAGTAGGGCTTCAGAAACCACTACAATATATTTTTTTTCCCACCCACCCACATCCAAACTGGAACTCTGAAACTTCACTCCCACATGCAGGACTGACTTTAAATTATGGATGCATTTTGGTTCGCAGTGGGATTCCTGGCTCACTTGATTAATTTCTATTGCAACAACTTCAGGCTTCAGCTACGTACCGAGGACAAAGACAGAGCTTTTCTTTCTTTCTTAACCTAAACTGCATAGATGCAGTATAAACAGACGGCATGAAAGCCAGCAGAGCTTTAAGAAACTCACACGTTTAGTTTCTCAGATGTAAAATCCTTAACTTCCAACCCTGTGCTGCATCAGCATGCAAAGGGGTTTTGAAGGGACACCTTGAGCCCTGTGAAGCATTCCAATCCCTGTTCAAAGCTAGCTTCATCATGATGTGAACAAATAATGAGTGAGTATCCCCCCTCTGTTTACAATAATGGTATATTACAGCTGTTAACTGGTGAGTATAAGAGAAGAAGGCTGTGGGGTAGCTCGAGAACACAGTGTTGCCACTTTTAATCTCCAGGCTGGTAAAGAAAATATAATCGGGGAAGAGCAATGCTTTCTTCTCATTAGAAAGCCAACAGATGTGCCCATACGCAAGGC